AAGTGGGCGCCAGAAAACCCTTTTGCCAGCCACGGCAGCAGCAGCTGCACTAGCGGCGCTGGACCCGAGACCACTGCCCAAGGGCAAGCCCTTGTGAAGGGAGAGAGTAAGGCCCACCGATCGAATGTTGAGCATCTTCATGACAGAGATGGCGGCGATGCCAGCGCAATTCCAGCGAGGGTTTCTTCTGAGCTTCTTTCCAGCGCCGGATATGTCAGAAATAGAGACCTCGCCAGGGTGGACGTTGGGGTCAAGGCGGAGAGTGACGAAGTCGCCGATGCCGTCGACAGCGCAGCCAAGGAAGTCGAAACCAGGGCCGAGATTGGCAACGGTGGCTGGAGCAAAGGACTTGACAGAGGTGAAAACGGGTGAGGGCTCACTGCGGGAGTGAGCGGAGAGATTTAATCTGAAGGAGGGATTGGCAGTGCGATTCCGTGAGGAGGAGGAGGAAGAGGTGATGAGCTTCAAATTCAGGGGAGACTGACATAGTACGGCCATTGCAACAACTATTTTGTTGATGCCAGACTGCCAACATCAAAGCTAAAAATTCAATACTCTTAAATTTCTCTCCCACAAGATAAGGTGCTAACATTTGGAAGGTACTCAATCTCCTTCTACTTTATTTACTCATTTCTTATACCTTCAATCTTTCTCTCTCTATATATATACTGGTCCATTAATCTTTGATCAAACCAATTATTTATGGATAGCAAACATTTTAAACAAGAAGACCTGAAATGTTGATTGGTGTCAGGTCCCTATCATCCCGGTGAACAAGTCCAGTCATAACTCCGAAAAGTATGGCTAATGAGCTTGCTAAAGTGCCAGGTATGGTAAATATAGCTTTTTTCCTCAGTTCCCTTTACAAATTTGGAAAACATTCAATGTTAAGGGTCATATAATTGAGAGTAGACGGAAACGAGCTCTACTAACTAACCCTTTGGCAACCCTAAGGGTGTAACAATTTGGTCCATACACGATATTGCATTCTCTCTCTAGGTAACATCATTCATCCGTACTCTTATGGAGTTGTACATCAGTAGCCCAAAACTTAACATCTTAATTGTATTAAGCTACAAACTGATTGGATAATTCTTCAAACACTAGATGTTCTCTACACTATCTGTTGTTACATGATAAAAATAATAATTTGAATGTACAAAAATTCGAAATGAGAAAGGTAATGGAATTAAGGGTTTTCCATTTTCATTCGCTTTCTTTTCAACCTATTTGCAGATATCTCTGCCTTCTCATCCGCATAAGACAAGAACTTTTTAAGCCTTACCGAATGTGATATTCTAGTTCTACTAGTAGAACCATGTGTTAATTCAGGAAAATGTTGTTTGAACTGGTGCAACATCAAGCAGAAATATACAAGCAGAGCAAAACAGCAGGTAACTCCAGAAATGAGGAATAAACCCCAAAAGCTCTTTAATGGAAGCTGCTCTGAATCTGCTGCAGAGCTCTGCCCCCCACAGACTTTTCTGTTTAACCACTTCTTGTGGATCTTCTCTAGCTCTCCATTCTCAGACAATTGCAAGATTGCCGTTGACATGTCAATGGCTAAGGGGGAGTCTCTCGGAAATGCCTATAAATTAATTGGATCAAGGTGTCAGCTTATGTTACATGACTAGCTTTTTGGATAAATCATTTCATTCATTTTTCCACTCATGTCCATGTAATATTACTTAACTAAATAAAAAGTGTTTTAGTAAAATATATGAGTAAGGAAATTCTTACAAATCCCCATCCACTTTTGGTGAACTCTGGGCCAACTTTTTGGAACCCGCAGTAAGTTGATAAAAACAGATCCACATATGGACGTTCATCAACCACAGCAGCAACTCTTCCTTGTTCAAGGGCATCAGCATATTCTTCTGGTGATCCAAGAGGAACAAGCCTAGACTTTGCAATGTTAACTTCTTCAAATAAGTAGTTCTCAGCAAAAGAACCTACCTGGTACCCAATTGCATCATTGCTTGTTACCAATGATTCAATTCCTTGTATAGATGAGGAGAGCTGTTGAACCGTTAGAAACGATGTCAAGCTTGCAGTATAACTCGACGTAATTATCAAGATTACGAATAGCCATATAAGCAGTACAATTCGACCCAATGTGCTCACTGTGTTTTCTCCTGAAATTTTTTTACGACTGATCCATTATGCCAAAAGTTAACACTACAAAATTATCTTGACTTTTGGAAAAAGAGAAACTAGATACTCACTTGGGGCTCCAAAAATAGTTGAGAAACTAAACCTGCAAACGAAACATGACATACAAGGAGATGAGTTCAAAATCCCAAAGAGAAATATGCATATTATGAGGTTGGAACATAAAGGAAACGCAAGAAATCAAATCAAAACACTGCTCTCCGTAGCTTTTTGGATAGGATCCTAGTACTTAAAACAGTAGTATTAACTTCTTCCCAATAAGTACCTAACAGGAAGGCATCAACTCACCATAAAATTGTGACCATCTGCTTCTTGGGTGGGCCACGAAATTCATCATTAAATTTGTGCTCTAGTGTCCACACTACGGTTCCCACAACAAGGCAAAAAACAGCTATAACTCCCCACGTCAGGGGAGTAAATGGCCGCAGGAAAGCCCAAGCAATCGATCTTATCTTCTTCACATGTACCACCACCACTAACCCTGAATCTGCATATGGTTGACTAAAATCCAATATCTTTGTGCGGTTCGTTACAATTGTAATGTCACCCACTGCAGCATCAAACACCTATCATGGAATAAGAAAAAACAATGTTACATTGATTGTTAAAAATGCATAGCGTGAATATACTTGCATTGAAACTCACATTGGCTGTGATCATGTTTACTAACTGACTGTAGCTTGGGTTTTTGTGTCCGTCGCCAAACATGATGAATTTATGTGGCACAGGGTACGGAAGACACTTTAAGGCTGCAAGGAAGACATCTATGCTGTATCCACGGACCACTCCACTTCCTTCTTCTTCTGAAACAAAAGCTTTGTAGCTCACTCTCCTTGGGACTCCAATCCTTAATGGCCTACCATTGTCTGGAAATATCCATCCACGTGGTCTCTTTGTAGTTTTCCCTGGCCATATAACCTGATCCAACAGTTGAGTGGAACTTGACCTGTTTGCTGGTTTGGCATAAAGAGACTCCGGAGGCACAACGGATAGCCCAGAGTAGTTACACCAGTATCCTATTTGCCTCATCAATCCTTTGCCAGCTACATTGAGAACATCAAATGAGGGACGGGGCATGGATCTATCTGGGTTAAATGCAATGGGACCACTTACCCCAGTCATATTGGTCTTTAATATGTTACTAAGCAGTTGGTTACCACCATCAAATATGCTGAGAGCAGCAAGATTCATTGCCTTTCCAGCAAAACTGTTCAAATTGGAATCATTCGAGTAGGTGATTTTGCCTCCATGATCAAAAAACTCTTTGAGTGCATGGGCAATCATCCAAACAGTATCGTAGGCATATAGACCATAAACATTCAAAGCTATGGAGCCATTGCTCAACTTGTTCCACCTTGAATAAAAAGCCCTCTTCTTTGAGGAATCAGGTGTGTGGGAGCGAAGGGTGAGAGCACCTTGTATAGAGGTAGCCACCTTTGGTGAAACTGAAGTTGAATCGAGGGTACTGGAAAGCCAAGAAGTAGCTATCCAAACATATTCACTAGTCATCATGCCAAGGTCGTGGGCAATCTCAAAGACCTTGAGACCTGTTATGGATAATGTATGTAGAACAATAACTCGAGATTCCATTGATGTGACCTTAACCAACTGGTCCACGATCAGGTCACGACTAGATATAGGTTGGGGGGGAAGTATTGCCTTGTATGATATCTTACAGCGCCTCTCAGCAAGTTTATCACCTAGAGCGGTAATACTATTTTTGCCTTGATCATCGTCTGAGAAAATAGCAACGACCTCTCTGTATTGAAAATAACTTATCATGTCTGCTACAGCAGTCATTAGAAAAAGATCGTTGGGAGCTGTCTGAATGAAGTAGGGGTACTGTAGAGGTGATAGTGTTGGGTCCAATGCTGTGAAAGATAGGAGGGGGACATGGAGTTGGTTGACAAGGTGAGAGAGTACATGGGCAATCACAGAACTTTGAGGGCCAATTACAGCTACAGTATCGGTCTCCATGAATTGTAATGCTGATAGATAGATAGATAGATAAAGAAGAGTACTGTGATTGATTGTATGATATCGTATAAAATAAACGAAAGAATTAGAATATTATGAAAAGATACCTCCAATGATCCCTAGGAATCCGCTGTAGTTTGAATCATGCAGGGTGAGAGCAAGTTTTCTTCCACCGAGAAGTGAGGGATCAGAATTGACGTCTTGAACAGCAGCTTCCATGGCGATTTTGGCAACTTTGCCATTTGTGGTGCCAAACGAAAAGATGGCTCCGATTTTCACCTCATCAGTTTCTTCTGAAGATTGTTCAATAAAGCAGAGGAATACAAACACAAACCACTTTAAATTCATGAATATTGAATGAAGGGAACCAAGTGTGAGTAGTTGAAAATGAACTAATTGTGATATATCATATCATGCATGATTGTAAAGAAGAAAGTGAAGTTCAATCCTCAAGTCAAAGAAAGGAAAGCCAAAATGGCCAACCCAGCATTAAAAAGTACTCCTATATAGTATAGTATAGTAGTAGATTATATATGTAGGGAGGTAGGTGGAACTGGAATGGACGGTGGGAGATGGAATGAGAATACTTGAGTATAGAGGAACTTCCCCTTAATTAATAATAGTAACTACCTTGTCATACATACATTCTAAGATTACTCGGTTGGACAACCACTCCACTTTAATTTCCCCCACCCCCCGCATAACAACATAAAGATAAAAACGATGATGTGTTGCTGCTCCCAGCAAATTAAAGCATAAAACATACTGTAAAACAAAACAATGATTTTGTACCATATTTAATATTGATGTTATGTGGAATTGGAAGAAAATAACATTTCTTCCCTTTTACTGTCCCTAAAAAACATATAAAATTTCCTTTCCTTTGCTTTCATTGATTGGTCGAATGAAGAGTATGTATGTACGGTGGTGGACCTAGAAATTTTGTCCAAAATTATATAAGCAAAACGTTTCAAACTTACACTAATCTCTGGTGACAACAATAATACCGAGACACGAAAAATGGAAGCAGAATCAAACGAGGTCTTCTTTTGTTTGCTTTTAACAGCGTTATACAAATATTAGAATTTGTTTATCAACTTTAAATTAAATAATTACGTTTAAGTTTTATTTCAAACTTTGACGAAAGGAAATAAAAAATCAAATTCCTTGAACATTCAATTAGCTTTATTAGATTTTTAAGTTATAAATTTCTAAAAAAATTACTAACTAATAAAATATGAGCTCTTTAAAAAATGATTATAAAGATGAGTGGCTGTAGGGATTCACCATCAGAGAGCTTCCAGCCACAGTAGCTTATTGTGTCAAGGGTGTCTAAAATATTAAATTAACCATTTTAAACAGCATTTTACTTAAATATACGATATAATTTTTCGATAAAGGGTATCCAATTGACACCGCAGCTCCACCCCTGTGTATGTATGGCTTATTTTCTTTTCCTTTACGTGAACCATAAAGTAGTCAAGTCAAACCAAAGGA